CATAATTAAAACGGAAGAGGAACACTGGAAAAGAAAAGCCGATGAAAGATGGGTGATGGAGTACGTGAGCTACTTGGAGAACCATCGAATTAACATTAACGTTAGACAAGTTACTAAAGTTTGATGCTCCATAGGTGAATAATGTGGTTATTAAAGTGATTTTTTTTGCTGTCTGTCTTAAAAAAGAATGGGTATACCAGCGAATTTCCGTTTTCAAGTTTTGATTCCAGTGAATGGAATTTGTACGGTTTACAGACGCAGTGTGATCTTTTGTAAATACGGCGTGTAGTGATGTACTGGTGTGATTTCTGGGCCGGATGGATTGGTGGTGAGTGAAGATAGACTTTTATAAGAAGTACCGATTTTTTGGTTTGATGATGATAATCTTTTTTTGTATTTCTTGTGAAAGGTATAAGTGGCATTATTGTCGGACATCCGTTGGATACCGTCAAAGTTCGTCAACAGACCCTAGGATCCTCTCGAAGATTGGGAGTCCTGAAAACAATTCAAACTACTTTTCGGTATGAAAAAGTGAGTGCGAATGAACTGAGGTGAATTTCACCAACTTTTTTCATGTGGTACAGTAATTCTACGGAAATTATTGAAGATTGCTTTTTAAAATTGATTTCGTCATTTTCGAGAATATGCGTGCGATGTTTCTAATTATGCCTCATTACTAGATGTTTTATTATGTTGGTACATTTCTTCTTGTGAGAGCGGGGGAGAAAGTTGATCCCAAGTGAGAATCTTTGAAGTTTCAAAATGTTTAAATGCCAAGAAGCTACATTTTAGACTTCATATGAAATTTAATATTTCGGTTGTCAATAATCATAAATCCTGCAGTTTCGTATTTTTAAAATTGATCAGTTTTGTGTTCATTCTGCATTGAAATGATCAAAGGCATACGTGTCTTTATTGAATCTTACTTGAGGTAGGTATGTGATGAATTTTAGAAATTGAATTTGAATAACTTGCAGGTTTCATAGTGAGCTGAAATTCAGTAAGTTTGTCCAAAATCCATGAAAATGAAATGCATAAAAATTTTAAATATATTTCATGATACTGAACATTTTCAAAAAAAAAGAAAAGAAAATACAGTACCATAAAATGCAGAATTTTTTTAGAAAAAAGAATTCAAGTTTTTTGAGTAATAACTCACTCCATTATTTTTTCAAGTGTCTGTGTGCATATGTGAATAATTGGTTCTACCTTCTGTTTTCTGGGATCCTCTCAATGAAAAAAATGTTCTGAATTTGTATTTACTGTGCTTCCAAAGTTCCGATGATCTACTTTGTAATTCATTGCTTGATAAAAATGTTTCACTGAGGAGAGTTTCATTAATTATTTAAGAAAACAAATTAGGCCAAATTACTAGAAACCTAGCCTCTCACTTGAATTAGACCACTTGTAGAGGAAATTTCTGGTAAAAGTTCATCGTCTCCTTTTTCAGGGCGTGAAATTTTTTTTTATTTAATTGGGTAAAAGCTGATTTTTTTCCTGGACCGAACGCTAGCAATAACTTGGATCGTTGCAATAATGCCAAGCGTCTTTTTATGATGTTATTTTTCTTTCCCCCTCTTCCAGACTAGAGGCTTTTTCAAGGGCATGGAATTTCCAATTTTATCAAGCGGCATTCTCAACTCGCTCATGTTTGGGACGTATGGTGTGTGTATGGGAGAAATCATGAATAAGCGGCATCATGAAGCCCCCACAGCGTTGGATGCATTTATTTGCGGTTGTGCAGGCGGTTTCGTGACAATATCCTTGTGTTGTCCCGTCGAAGTCGTCAAAGTGAAGCTTCAATTGCAAACAGGTCTTTTGCCTCCCAGGATTTGTTTTCTTTTTCTGCTTTTGAAAAAAAAAGGGGTTTTCGTTTTATCTCTGAAGCTGAAGGCGCGGCTGTGAACGTGTGGGGGACAACGAGTGTCAAGCATTATCGAGGACCCTGGGATTGCGTAAAGGATTTGTGGCGAATGCACGGTTTGAAAGGACTTTATCGCGGCAGTGGTTGCATGCTGTATCGGTGAGTCAATATCCCCCCCCCCCCC